AAGGTTTAGCCTGGGAGACTGAAGAATTTACTGACAGGAATAGAGAGGTGTCAAGGGGAGATGATTTGGGGAAAAAAGACAATGAACTCTGTTTTGCATATATTGCATTTAAGGTGCCGGTGGAATATCTAATTTGTGAGAGGAATTGGAAACACAGAACAGGTAGAGGTAAGGATTTCAGGATTTAGATTTAAGAGTCATTCACCCGAAGAACTTCAGAGTATTATGGTCCGAAAGGACCTGAGAAATTGGTTAGAAAGGACCAAACTCTTCATCTTTGGTGCATTGGTGAAAGAAGAAAAAGAAATTCCCTAAGTCAATTCTCTAATTTTATAAGAAAATCAATACCCAAAGGAGTTCAGCACACACATGAAACTGGCGGTAAAAGCAGAATTAGAATACAGATTATTTTCATTGTTCTTTCCACTGCATGCTTCTACCATTATTTGACAAACGAGAGCAAGGCTTTGGGAAACAACCAGTTGGGAGAACAAAGGAAAGCAGACTGGCATGAATCCGAATGGTAAGGGGAACAATGAAACCCAGAGAGAAAATTTTCCAGTTTGATGAAAATATTTCAAATTGCATATGAAAACACCACACTGTACCCCAGAGTTGCATTAATGTACATAGTTATCATTTAATAAAAAAAAGAAAATTAGAAAACTCTAAAAAAAAAAAAAGAGGAAGAGTCAACAGTGTGCTATGTGACAAAAAGGTCAAGTTGGATGGGAACTGAAAAAGGCCACTGCATTTTGCAATGCAATTATTAGTTACTTGGCAACAGGATGTTCTCTTTAATAATATCTACTGTTCTAGAATTCTCTAAAATGCTGCCCTCGCAGTCCTTGCGGTGGGAACACCTCAGACATAGGATCTGCATATAACGTGGTTCTCCTATTTCAGTAATCAAATTACCTTGAGCAAGGTCCGAGAAGAACTAGCTTTACATGAATTTCAAATCTACAGTGATTCATGTTAGAACAGAGTTCTAGTTTGCTCACGTTCTCACCTGACATATTTTATCAATGCTCTTAGAGCCTCGTCATGCTTTTAAAATTTGTAGATTTTCTTTCCTTTCTCTGAATTCAGATGTATATAATCCTAGGAACTTCAATCTTTCTAGCAATTGGCTAATTACTGCATAAAGCTTTTCAAAATAACATTACTAAGTATATTGTACAGTATAATGAGATACACAAACATGGGGATTTGAAAATGTAAATGCCTATTTTTAAAATTCAATGGGTGATGATTTTTAGGCAATTTTTGACACATTTATTCCCAATTCTTTACCGCCCATTCTAAGAAAATAAGCAGCATTAAGACTATCAGCATAATGAAAACCACATTATGATACAGAGAATCACACAGCAGGATTTGTCTAAATGTAGAAATTTTCAGTTAACAGCCATCTGGCAAGCAACAACATTCAAAGTGTGTCGGGGGATGTGCTTTTTACATCCTCTGTGTATCAGATGATCTACAATCTTAAAAAAAAATCGTTTTTATCATTCAAAAGCAAACATAGTTTTGTCACTTTTCATACTGAGTTCTGAATTTTTTTCTTGATTGAAAACTACAAATTCACTCAAACAGAAAGAACAAAAACCATGAAAATGCACTTCATCGGAGTACTACAATGTCTGAATTTTCCACCTAACCAAAACTATGTACATATCACTACATAATCCACAGATGTTGACCGGCGTATGCACACAGATTTAAACTTTATCTAAAAACATATAAAGATTAGAAACTGAATCTGGCACTTGAGACTATTGTCATTGGCACACTATTACTATAATGGGAGCAATTCAGCCATCTCCTTTTTCCCCCTCCTTCCCTAAAGCTGCTTCCTTTTGTCCCCATCCACTTGATCTATTCCTTCTTTCTCCACTAAGTAAGTCTTAAGCCTGCCAGTGAGATGTAAACCTAATGAAGCTTTGATCCCTATAAAATGAGGATAAAAATAGATCTTACAGAACCTTGAGGATGCAATGAATTTCAAAACACATATGCTGGTTTAATAAAGCTATTAATAGCAAATTTTTAGCAAGCTTTTCACTAATGTCCTCTGCTCCCTTTTGTATGTGTGCAACCAGTCCAAGCTGGCTTGAGTTCTCTGTCTACCTGGTTCCTACCTTACCTGAACTCAAGTCAAGGAGAAAAAACTACAGATTCGGTTTAGAGATTCTCTGAGCCTGCCCTGCCCTCTTTCCACTTAACTCCAATCTTCACCACTTTCAGAACTTTTATAAACTACTACTACCATTCATTTCAGTCCTTAGTTATATTACACCTTATAATTTTAAATGCATTGTCCTTGGGATTTGCTTTAACCAGTCTCACACCAATGAGGGGTCAGGGACTGACCCACCAGAAGGGTTTTTGTACAGCTGTTGAAGTGGGACAACAGAACATGAGAAAACCAACCAGCAGTGGGGTCAATCCCTGATCTCCCCTTGCCAGTCTTCAACTATTAAGGTAGATTTAAGTTCCTTAGAAGTAAGGCCTATGTTTTAGATGTTTCTTTTTTTTTTTAAGTATATACCATTTGAATCATTGTTGATACTTGCACATTGAGATGTTACTTTTTTTTCCTTCCTTGTATCCTCCATAATACCTAGCACAAGCAAACAGTGAATGAATAGGGTCAATTGTGGAAAACATGAATTAGGCACCCCACAAAATGAGATATATTTGGCTCTGAAGAGTGATCACCCTCTTCACCTAATTTGTTTTCATTTCTTCCGCTAGCTCAGATTGCTTCTCATTTTTCATTCCTCCAACTCCTGTCAGTTGCTGTCTCCTTAGGTGATCAGTAAATAAAAGGCACTGTCCAAATCACAGGGGTCAGGGAATGTCAAAACTTGATTTGTTTTGGCTTACAACCAAGGCCAAGAACAGAGCTAAGACAGCTTTTTCCTCAGGGAACACTCAACTATTTAATGTATGAGACAAGACCCAGCAGGAGGAAGACCTTAAGGGTATCTTCCAAGGCCTAAAGAGCAAGAGAGTGCCCCCAACAGAGGCCCAGATTGTGTTACTACAGAACTGCATTAGAATTTAGCTTCTCTGATTTAGCCAGGTAAGTGTTCGGCTTCTTTCTTTTTTTTCTGTATTTTTCAAGTGACTACATCTATTTCCCTTCTACAGGGATATTTATTTTACAGACTCTAATTTTTCACCTATCTCTTCATTCTCTGAACTAGAGAACAGGAAGTGAATTAAGGGGATAGTTCTAAGGAGATATCTTGCTACCCCACACACAGCCTTTGGCCTCCTTTTAGCTCCTTGCTTGATAACAGGGATGGGATCTCCCCATTTTCACACAATTATTCCCCTTGCCTCTAAAATCAGCCAACCACAAACACAGACAGTACCCCATCCACTCTCCATCAGTGCTCCTGGAAACTCAGCTAAGCAGTGAGATGAAACTGCCACCTGCTCAAGGGTTCATGACAGGCAGCTCAAGACGACAGAAGGAACATACAGCTCTTACACAAAATAGTAAAATAAATAATGCATAGTAAACCAAAAGGTATGGTATTCAAACATATATACTTATTCACATTGTTCAAGTCTATCAAGCTATTCATATTATGTAGAAAACATAAAATACATTCTTATCAGGGGATAATCCTTTAGATATCATTTTAGAGAAAAAAGTCTGGTGGAGCTGAACATTCTCATTCTTTATCAGAGGCAAAACAGAGGGGCCATAATGAAATTATTATACCAAGCTTATTATTCCAGATATCCTGTAAATTGTATTGTATAATCCTAGACACCAATTTCTAGCAAATACTGTCCGATTTTTATTCATGTTTTTTTCTTACATGAAACCAAGGTTTGAAGGGATGAAGAAAGGATCAAAAATTCCACTCTTATTCCCAATCACCTGGGAAATTTTAAAAAAGGAGAGAAAACAAGGAATAGAGATTATACACTTAGAATAGGAAACTAAGTGAAATCTGAGAGAAAAAAATGACCATCATATGCACACTGGAATAGCTGAAATGCTGTGACCCAATAGTGGATTCAAAATGGTCTGTTAAAGCGATTTAAGGAAAGACTTGATATTTCTGGAAAGTAAGATAATGTGTATAGTCTAAGTCTTCTGCGAAATCTAAATCATTTTTTTGGTAACTCAAATACTACTTTCCCATTAACTTGGATGAAAAACATCAAAGACTCTTAATCTTTAACAGGCACCTTCTCTTTACCAGAAAATTTAAGGAGGTATTTCCTCTGAGGGCAGTGACTTGGCCATGCTGTACTTGCACAAACCTGAGTGCCTCCTTAACACTGTGCTCCAAGTGCCGCACCACACTCTAGTCTAGACTTTGCTTTGTACCTCCATACCCACTCTATCCCAATAGTAGAAAGCCATAAAAAGAATAAACAAACTTGGAAGCATCATGCTAATAATCCACTAAGATTTTGTATAAGATGCTAAGAAAAAATCTAGTACAAATTAGCTTGGAGGCAGAACAGGATTTAAGGCCCAGTGGCAGATGACCATTAAAGACCAATGGCAGATGACTCAACAAAGATCAAGACTTCTGGGAACCATTCTGATTTACAGATAATAGCTACTGCCACTCCACACACCCACAGATCACTGATTTGTTTTTCCTTCTAATTGGGGTTTTGTTTGATGAGGGACTGTAAAGATACTATACAAAATGATATCTTAAACCTATAGTAAAACAACATAACATTCTTTTTTTATGATAGCTCTTCTTTTAGCTTTTTCTTAGGCTACTTTGTTTTCAACATAAAGAACCCAAACACTGGGTGGCGCCTGTGGCTCAAAAGGATAGGGCACTGGCCCCATATACCGGAGGTGGCAGGTTCAAACCCAGCCCCAGCAAAAAAAAATAAAAAAAGAACCCAAACATTATCGCCCATATCTCTGAAGCATATAAATGTGTCTACATACAAATATCTATGTATAGTCAGCAATCTTCAAAGAAACGTTTAAGTTTGCCTACCTCCTCCGGCAAAGAGAGCAGCAATAAAGGGGCAGACATCCCAGGAAGACCATGCTGATCACACCGAGCCCAAACATCCGGAACATCTGCGTAGGCTCTGTTGGTGTAATTATATCCTATTACTTTTAGGACTTAAGCAAGAGAAGCAAATCCAAGCTCTTTCATAAAGTCTTTATGAAAATATTATCAGTTAATAAAGTAAAAGGAGGAGGTATTCTTATATGACAGGTAGATATCCTTGCTACTCTGTAAGTAGCAGGAGTTTATGAAATGTTCTTGAAATATAACGAAGGCTACATTTCCATATGTGTCCCTCAATGGAAGCTTTAACAACATGATCCTACTATTTTTGTTAACAGTATCATGATGCATAGTATAAATTTCTTCCTGTGGCCCTAAATGTGTTTTTTCCTTGGCCATATGCCATACATCCTAGAGCACTCAAGGAGGAAATTAATCTATGAACAGTTAACTTGATAAAAAAAAAATGGCTTCTTAAATGTTTATTTCCAAATTACAAAACATTAAATTAAAAAAGGAATCAAAATTTGCAGGTAAATAAGCATATTTTATAGTCTTGTATTCATTGGGAAATGCATTCTAATGTGGTTAGGGAATTGTAAGTCACGATTCAATTTTTTTCCTCTACAAAAACTAAATGTCTCTTCACACATAATATAAAGACCCAACTGATAAATGCATTTTAAATACCATGTGACAGTGTTAAAATTGGAATACTGTATTCACGATCAGGTTTTACTTTCCATTATTAATACTACTTGTTCACAAAAAGCTGTAAATTGAATAAGAACTATATTAACCTAAGATATTGTTTTGCATGCATCCTTTCTGTAATACTTGTTAGTGTTTCATCATACCAAATCCATTCATCATGAGACCAACTGGCAATATGTCCCCACCATCCAAGTGAAGGTAGCAAAAACAGAGGGTGTACTTCTCGTAACTTTGTAAAGAAAAGAATTTTAAGAGAACAAACCTAATTCAAAAACAATAGAACAATTAAAAACTAATAAACAGACCTTAACAAGAAACATTCAATTCTACTGCTACATATTGAGAGTTGAAGACAAATGGGAAAAAGAATTCCACATAGGATGAAAAACCAGAAAGAGAAAAGTAAGCTAAAACACGCCCCATTGGCATTTTCTCCCAGGCATTGAGGGTTACACCTCTTGGGGCCTGGAACCTGTGGACAAAAGACAGAGTGACTAAAGCAAAAGAAAAGGTGAGACTAATTTTGTGACCAGGCATGGTGCTTCACACCTGTAATCCTAGCACTCTCGGAGGCGAGGTGGGTGGATTGCCTGAGCTCAGGAGTTTGAGACCAACCTGAGCCAGAACGAGACCCCTTCTCTAAAAAGTAGCCGAGCACTGTGGCAGACACTTGTAGTCCCAGCTACCAGGGAGGCTGAGGCAAGAGTATTGCTTTGAGCCCAAGAGTTTGAGGTTGCTGTGAGCTATGACGCCACAGTACAGTACTGTATCGAGAGTGACAAACTAAGACTCTCAAAAATAATAATAATAATTTTGAACTGCCAAAGTCAGCATCTAAGGGCTAAACAGAAACTACTCCTGAAGAGAGTCCTGACCACCTCAGGACTTTCTAAGGACAGCATTACTCTAGTGCTGGAAGTCCCCTCTAAGTCGTTAAGCTGGGAGACCCAAATGTAAATGGATGTCACTGTGACCTGGTTATTCAATTTTTTAAAGTAAAAATAAAAGAGAGGAAAGAGGATGAACTTACTATCTCTTAGTGGCAAAAAACAGCGGATGTCACTGGGCTTGACTAATGAGAAACAGCATTTGTATCTCAGACATTCAGTCTCGTTAAGGTGTTGCAGCTTATTACAAGGCTTGACCTCCTGATTGTCCTTCAGCATGCATGCTTTTAGAAAGAGAAATTGAAGAAAGAGAATTCAGCACAGTTAATCAGCATTTTCCCAAGTGAAATAATGACAGCAAGGCAAAAAAAGGAAAAACATTTAAGCTGTTACATTCAACGATTGAATGACAAATATACAAATAATGATGAAAGCTAAAAAAAGACTTAAATACAAGTTACTACAAAGTTATGAAATGTCACTTTTTCACTTTTAGATGACCTGCAGAAGTATACAATTGTTAACAGATTATTAGGTAGTTTTTAAAAAGATTATAGATTATAGGTTTAGAGAATACAAATACAACCCAAAGAACTACTGTGCATATCAACAGGCCAAATGGCCTTAAAACTAACACCCTGCTAAAATGATACCACAGATATCCTGTCAATTTTGCAAAGCTACAGAAACTTATTGAGTATGTCAGTAAGAATGAACTAAGTAAAATTCACAGTTTACTGCTAGAGAGTAAGGGAAGTGATATTATTGGTATTGACCTATTTTTTGTGAACAGTCCTGGGTGTTACACACTCAAAAAAGGGTGATAATTGTCAGGACCTAGTCAGAGATAGAATAGACTTCCTATGTTCTGAGTGAGAACCCATTTCTTGAAACATCACTTTCAAGGAATGCTAAGGAGAGGGTTAAAGCTGGGCATGGTAGCTCATGCCTATAATTCCAGCACTTTGGGAAGCCGAGGGAGGACCACCTGAGGAATGATCAGGAATTCTAGACCAGTCTGGGTAGTACAGCAAGAGTCTGTCTCTACAAAAAAAAGTGAAAAAAATTTAGCCAGGCATAGTGGTGCATGCTTGTAGTCCTAGATACTTGGGAGGCTGAGGCAGGAAGATTATTTGAACGAGAGTTTGAGGCTGCTGTGAGTTATGATTGCAACTACTGCAGTTCAGGCTGAGGGACACAGCAAGATTCTGTCTCAAACAAAGAAAACAAAAAAAGGAGGGTTAAGGTTATAATCATGGACGAGACAGAGCTAGATGATCTCTAAGATCCTTCAAATGTTGAGCTTCTGTTGCTTCATACTTAAATTATGTCTGATAGAACGTTATGCTAGATATCAAAATTAACCTTCAGACTCAAATTACCAAGAGGCACTTGTACTTTTAAAGAATAAAAAGGGTAGAACAATTTTTAGTCAGGTTTAAGTTTATAATTGTGTGTAAAGGGAGAAGGATCAGGTGATCTCTCAAGATCCCCTGCCAGTGTTTTTTAAGATTATCATTTTATTGGTGTACTCCCACCTAATGGGCAACATTTAAGAGTATATGGCACAGCTCCTGGGTGCAGGACACAACTACACCAGGGACCTTACCCCAAAAGTACGAACATGTAACCGAATCATTTGTACCCTCATATTAATCTGAAATAAAAGGCTGTCATTTTAATCTGCAAGAGGTGAATGTTTTACAAACAACAGCCTACTGACAAAATAACAGATTGGTTTTTAATGCCTAAGTGGTAAGAGTGTTTATTTTCAATTATATGAAGGAAGAAATAAATTGGTTAAAAGTGTTTCATATTTATGAACCCATGGTTATTATTTTCAAATAAGACAGTATTCACATTTTATAAATATTTAATAATGTTTTCAAAGATTTGAATCATCCTAGGTCAGATGTTCCCATTAAAATGAAACAATGTGATTTTGTTGGGCGAAACTGTTATTTAATACAACTAATTTTGACACAATTTACTGCACCAGATGGGAGAAATATTTGGGAGATACATGGATCTTGATTAGCCTATTTTAAAAAGTGATTTCAGTGTTTGTTTCACGTAGTTATTAGAGGAAACTACGTCACAGTTTACATCTGCTAGTTTCATAAACTCTAACCCTTAAATCATCATTTGTTGTTTATGACCAACTTTAGCAGTCACTAAACCATTCTTTTAGCCTACACAACATAACACCTTCCCAGAGTTCTTCTTTTTTCATTCTATTTGACTATGGCAACATTTTGAACTTATTTAAGAAACTTGTTTATTTTGCTGCTCTCATTGGTAGTAGGCATTATAATGCCTATTTTGTACTCGATAAAATCAGTATAGAAAAACATAGACATTTACGCAGGGTCACAGAAGAATTCAGTGGAAGTGTCTGGAATTAGACAGTGAATACAATTTTCTGCTTGTATATGTATATCTAATTTTGTTAGAATAAATCCTGTATGATTTTTAATAAAAACTTAATCTTGTAATTCACATATGTCAATTTATGTGAAGCATCTCCTTGAAAGGGCACCACATGCTATACAAAATGAAACGTGTTTATTTCTGGTTAATAATTCTCAGGAGTCATCACGTGCTTGATAAACACATTATATACAGAATCACAAAAAGATGGTGTGACATGAAACCTGGACTTTTATCATTAAGACAGATGGGAAGGCATCTGGTATAGTCCATAACATCAAAGCCACACAGTACCCTGCTTAATGCCACAGAAGACATCAATTTTACAGTACTGGGTTAGTGACTAGATTTCAGACAAAGCCACTCACGTAAATGGTGCCAAATTTAGACATCTGTGAAGGAAAAGTATTTTATAAAGAATAACAAAAATTTATTAAATGACTAATTCCCTTACAAATATTGCCTCAGTTCATCTTCACAATTCGCTGCAGTAAATCTCTTCATTTTAAAGATGTAGACACTGAAGTGCAGTGAGATTGTCTTGCCTGAGGCGAAGGGCAGAACCCAGGTTGCAAACTTCGGTGTGTCCTACTCCAGTGCCACTATATCATGCTACACCACACTATCTCCTATTTGATTACTATTCTCAAAGCAAGGACATTGATTGGAGGGAAAAAATGAAATAAGAACTTACTTGTTGGGAAGAAAAATCTCAGTAGGGATTCCCATGCAGAAAGTTTCTCCAGGGTTTGTCCATCAGCGTTTTGGACATATTCATCAGTAGAAACGGTGTTTGCAAATCCTTAAGAAGTGAAATTATTAAACTTAATACAGAAAGCTCTCAACACTTTTAATGACCCTTTCATTGTAATTACCTTTGCTTCACTTAATTACAGGAAGTCTAATAGCAGGTAAATTGTACTTTGATCTCAGTTTAGGGATTATTAATAGCCAGAACACAATTCTTCTGTGAAACTGAAGGAGTATTAAAGTTAAAAATGCTTAAGCTATAAGCTGATCATCCTATTGTTGCACTGTGAACTAATTCACAATAGTGAATTTACCTTTGACAGATAACAAGGATATTTAGAGGCCTAATCAATTGACAAATTCGAAATGCTATGTATTCCAACTAAATCAGACCCCAACACAGAAACTCTTGGCAAACATGTTGGCTTCCTTACACACTGATAAGAACGAAGGCCTTAGACCATGTAAAACCTTCCTTATCCTTCTTTTTCACTACTTCAAAGCTATTTTTAGTCATAGTTGCATGATCCCCTCCTATAAAAAGAATAAAACAGATTTGTCCTTAGCATTAAATATTTCTCAACACTATCTTTAATAATGTCACAGAATTCCATGAGATGGTTCTATTGTAACTGAATTAACCATTCCCCCATAGGAAGATATTTAGGTTGTTTATGATTTATTGACATTATAAAGAACACTATGATGATGATTAGATTATCACTGGTTTGCAATGATTACCATCAGAACTATATATTTACAGATATTCCTGAAAAATTCCCTAAAATAAATGTCCAAATTTACCTTCCAGTAAGGCTACCCCAAATTACACTTCTACTAGTAGTAGACAAATACCAGTTTTCTTGCCCCCTTGCCTTCTTTGTTGTTGTTATTTGCCAATTTGATGGCCAGAATAAAATAAAATGTCTTGTTTTATGTGCACTTTTAGTCATCAGTGAGCTTATATCTTTCATACGTTGTTAGTTGCACGGTAGAGAAACTAAGCCTTAATCTGCCATGTTTCAAATGCTTTTTCAAAGTAGTTGGTTACCTTTACATTTTTTACGGTTTGAGGGAGGCTCAGAAGTTTTAAATTTTTTATGTAATCAAACTTATCAATCTCTTATTAGTTCTTCCTTTCAGGTCATTTTTCAGAAAGACATTCTATACTCTAATACTTCCCTCTAAGATTTTTATGGTTTTACTTTTTAAATTTAAATCTTTAATCCACATGAAATACATTTTAGAGTGTGTTATGAAGTAGGGACAAATTTTTTCCAGCGATCCTAACAGCACATATTAAATCCATCCTTTTCTACTTACAATATCATCATCATATTTTAAGTTCTTACATAATCATAGATCTGTTTCTTGACTTTCTATCTTGTTCCATTAATGTATCTGTAAGTGTACCAACAGCACTGTTATAATTTATCTTACATTTTTAATGTATTTTAAAAACTGATGGATCTCTATAATGAAAACCATGAAAATCTGATGAAAGAAACTGAAGAGGACACAAAAACACGGAAAGATATTCCATGGTCATGGATTGTAAAACTTGATAATGTTAAAATATCCATACAACCCAAAGAAATCTACAGATTCAATGCAATCCCTATCAGTGACATTCATCACATAAATAGAAAAAAAAAAATCCTAAAAGTCATATGGAACCACCAATACCCAGAACAGCCACCCACAATTATCCTCAGCCAAAAGAACAAAACTGGAAGAATCACATTACTTGACTTCAAATTATACTGCAGAGCTGTAATAATCAATATAGCATGGTACTGGCATAAAAACAGGCACACAGACCAATGGAACAGAATAGAGAACCCAGAAATAAATCCACACATCTATAATGAAGGTATCTTCGGCAACGTTTCCAAGAACATACCACGGGCAAAGAACAGTCTCTGCCATAAATGGCGCTGGAAAAACTGAATATTCCTATGTAGAAGAATGAAACTAGACCCTTATCTATCATCATATACAAAAATCAAATCAAAATAGACTAAAGACTTAAATCTACGACCTAAAACTATAAAAATACTTAAATAAAACACTGGGAAAATGTGTGAGGGCATTTGTCTCCACAAGGGCTTCTTGAGTAACCCCCAAAGCACATGCAACCAAAGCAAAATTGGACAAATGGAATCACATCAAGTTAAAAGCTTCTGCACACGAAAGGAAACAACCAACAAAGTAAAGGAAAAACCCGCAGAATGGAACAAAACATTTGCAAATTATCCATCTGACAAGGGTTTAATAACTAGAATATGTAAGGAGCTCCAATAACTCAATAGGAAAAAATTAATTGATTTCATAGAGACAAAGAGCAGAATGATGGTTACCAGAGCCTAGGAAGTATAGCGGGGGGGTGGACAGATAAAGTGGGGATGGTTAATGGGCACACAAATACAGTCAGAAGGAACAGTACGGAACAGTATTTGATAGGACAACAAAGTGAATACAACCAATAATAAGTTAGGGAATATTTTAAAAGACTGTGAGTCTGTATTTTTTGGCAGGGAATACTTTCTTAACTTTTTACTTCTTCAAAGTCACAAGTTGATTTCATTATTTTTAATTTTTCTAGGAAATCATCCAGTACAAAGCAATTATCAGGATGGACTCACAAAACTATTCACTTAAAATTTTTGTATCTTCTTTATACCAATGATAATGTCTTCATTCTCATTTACATGAGACCAACTTCCATACACATACAATTGAAAGTGCATTCTCAGTGCAGTCTCACAACGAACTCTATTATAAACGTTAAGCTATATTTTTCAAATACTCTCTATCTTTATTTTTTCTTTCAAAGACTAAAGAACATATTGAAGTCTCCCACCCTGATTATGGTTTTGTCCATGTCTACTTGAATTTCTAAAAGTATTTGTTTTCTATATCCCAACATGATCTATAAACATTTAATCATGAAAACTTTATCTTCACTGTATATTACATATCTTGGCAATATTAAAAATAGCCCATTTTGTCCTGTTTCTTTTCTTGTAACTCCTACTCATTATTGAATGCCTACTATATTCTACATTTGGGGTACATATCAGGTAACAAGTCAGATAAGATCCCTGCCCTCATAGAGCTCACTACAGTACAGTAGCGAGAAGACAGACAAAAACCAAGTAAACTAACAGTTTAAATAAATGCAAATTGTAAGGAGTGCTGTGAAGAAAGTGGATACCAATAAAGAACGAGGCAGGGGACCTACTTTAAATAAAAGCTGGCCTTTCTAAGGAGATGATATTTAAGTTTCAAAAAATAGAATTAGAAGTAGCCAGGTATGGCTCGGAACCCTGCAGCTCAGTGAATAGGGCCCTGCCACATACACTGAGGCTGGTGGGTTCGAACCCAGCCTGGACCTGCTAAACAACAATGATAACTGCAACCAAAAATAGATGGGCGTTGTGGTGGGCACCTATCCCAGCTACTCAGGAGGCTGAGGCAAGAGAATTGCTTAAGCCCAGGAGTTTGAGGTTGCTGTGAGCTGTGACCCCAGGACACTCTACAAAGGGCAACATAGTGACACTCTGTCTCAAAAAAAAAAAAAAAAGAAGTAGCCAGGTACACAAAGGGCCTGAAAGAGTGCTTCCCCCATAGAGAATAAGAAATTCGATTATGAACCTAAAACAAAAGACTTAAAAGAAAAAAAAAAGAGATTACTCTTGCTAGGCATACTTTACCAGATTAGAAGGCCTACCATGCTACATGGCACAGGAAAGGAGCTGTAAATGAAAGAGGTCTTCACGGGACCTTTGTTCTGCGCTGTCCATTGTTTCCTTGCTGTCCTCCTTCCCCAGTTTGACTGTCCTTGCTGCCACAGACTCAGCATACCTTGTGATGGTGAGCTGTGGCTGGCAGCAGCACACCATGGCCAGAGTATCACTCTAGCTTTTATTCAGCAAGTGGTGCGTTCTTTGGAATCCCTCCAGGATAGAGATTGATTCCCCCAACTTGGAGACCCCAACACAAGAGTGCTTTAGCCTCCAGCCCATGCCAGACAGGCGTGACCTGAGCCTGAGGTGAAACCCAACTTGCTGTGACTTCCCAGTGGGGCCTGATCTTTGTTCAATCATTCAGAAAAC